CAACTTCAAGATGAAGTGCCGCTTCTGCGACAAACCACCTTTCCAGGGCAGTCAGGCGCGGGGTGCTGAGCACTTCACGAAGGGTAGGTGCCCCAAGGTGACACMAGAGGTCCTTGTCGACATTTGGAACACCACACAGTACCCTTTCGACCAACGGCGAGAGAGACAGCTGCGGGATTACATGGAGTATCGTGGCATCCGGAATAACAGAGAGGTGGGAGTTAGAGTGYCGGAGGATGACGAGGTGCAGGATGTTTTGGACAGGGAGGGGGCGGACAGCGAGGGAGGACASTGTGGCGGCGAGGACGATGAGATGGACAGGGGGGCGGAGGTTGAGGGCGAGGGACCGACGGAGGACGCTGGTGAGGACGAARTTCAGGAGTTAGAAGCGTCCCTTCAGGGGGGATCATTGAAGGCAYGATGCACTGCTCATCAGACAAGGACTCGTGCGCCTATGGATGGCCATGGGAAGAGGAGGGCGGACACCGCTCYTGCGGCACGCGTGCCGGACCCGAAACGTTTGAAGCAGGTCAGACTGGATGAGATGTACGACCCGGAGTGGCCGACCACCTTCGACCATCTCTTCCTGCAGTGGTGGTATATTGGTGGTGTCCCATTTGAGAGGGCGAGGATGCCCGAGTACAGGGCCCTCACGAGACATTTGCAGAACATGCCCCGGGGCATGAAGCCTACTTTGCCCCACTTCAAGCGCACAGCAGGCAGTGGCATACAGGAGGAGCGTGCGTACATAGCTGATAAGCTACGTGACATACGCGAGCAGATGCAGCACATAGGGGCTGTCATCCTCACGGATGGGAGGAAGTCCCTGAACTCTGAGCCCATCGTGAACTTCTTGTCAGCAGGACAGTCGGGCGCCTTCCTTTTCACGACGGTGCGCAGGGAAGGGGTTGACGCAGAGACGACAGACATCGTCTTGCAGCGCTAGAAGAAGGTGTTCGAGAAGTTCGGCGTGAAGAACATCAACGCCATCTGCACGGACTCTGCATCAGTTTATGTCGCCGCCGGTCGACCGCTTTGCCACGATCCCGATCCAGATATCCGTCGCATCGCTTGGCTCCCTTGTTCTGTCCATTGCTGCAACTTGATGTTGTCAGACATGGTTAAGGATAAGACATGGGCCCTGACTTGTTGACCAGGGCGAGGGCGGTTGTCCGATTCATTAGATGTCACGGATCGGCTATCGCGTTGTTCAGGAGTTATAGCGCGAGGGCCGATCGCGATGCACGGGCGGACTGTTTGGGTGGCAGTGCCGCGGGCGGAGAGGGGATAGTAGGCAGACCACGACGCGGCCGAGAGTTGTTGTACCCTTGCCAGACGCGATTCGCATCTATGTACATCATGATGGAGAGGTTGCGCGACCGCAGGGTTCCACTTGAGACGATGATGTTGGAGGGGGATTGGGCGCGACTTCCATGGGAGAGGAGGCTGCCCGGGCAGGCCGGGTGGGTGCGCACACAGGTGCGATGCAGGCTGTTTTGGGAGGAGATGGATGATCGCATCGACGTCTTCACCCCGGTCGTACAGTTGTTGAGGATGTTGGACCAGGGGGGTTTGGTGATCTCTTGCATCTTCCAGTGGGTGACCCAGTTGGCCGAGGAGATTCGGAAGTTGGAGTCGACGAGACCTCGCCTGGTTGGCATGCAGCAGGATTGTTACGCTCGTGCATGCCATCTGCTCGAGCCCGCCCATGCTGCCGCCCATCTTCT